TGAGGACATACAACAGGGAGGACAGAGCTGGAGAGACAGAGACAGGGAAGAAGGCCGAGCCCACTAACCCTGCACTTGCCTGGACAAGGGGAGGACTGTATTGATGAGCAGCCAGTGCACTTGTTGCACTGCACCAGGGCCTGGTCCCTAAGCCTCCGGGAAGCTGAGGGTGATGGTGGTGCCAACTAGGTGGCCTCTCATTTGCTCCCAAGGCTGGCTGTGCACCAGCGGAGGCCAGGCACTTCTGATCACAGGCACATATCTGATTACAGGGAGAACTGGCAGTGGAATTTCCAGCCTCATGACCCTACATCCCCCCTCACTGGGTCCCAGGTCCCCCAGTTCATCCACAAACATACCTGGTTTCCCCCAGCATTGTGACACTCATACACTCCAACAACACCATCAGCAAAATGTCCCAAAGTGTCGAGGCAGTTGGTCCCCTGCTGCAAGGCCCCAAAAGCAATATCCTGATGGTCTGGAACCCTGAAAAGCAACAATGAGAATCGCCTGCTTAATTCCCCAGGTGTGTCAGCTGCCCTCCACCAGCAGCTCTGCATAGCAACATCATTACAGCAGCATCGGAAAGGCCGAATTACTGGGCTTTACACCCCTGTCTGCTACACGTGAGAGATGGGTCAGTGAGACAGGCTTTGTCTGAGTTGCTGTGGTTCTAACACTTTAAGATTTTAAGTTGGAGAACTGTTCTTTATATTCAGTATCAAGAACATTTTCTGGAAAGGAAAAGCCCTGAATACTCTTTGATGTTGGTCTGACACAAACCATTTAGAAAAGCAATGAGTGTGATTAGATTTGGTTGCTTTTTTTAAAAACTGTGCATTAGGTGAAAGTTTACACAGCAAATTAGATTCCCACTCAGCTATACATGAAGTGTTTCATGGCCTTGGTTTCATTCCCCACAATGTGTTAGCACTCTCCCCATTTCCTCCCTGGGTTCCTCGTTTCTTTTCTTCCTGATTTTCTACCCCTTTCTGCCTTCTTATCTTTGCTTTTGGGCAAATACTGCCCTTTTGATCTTGTTTGGCTGAAAGGTGGTTTCTGGGAATGGCTTCAATTTCAGGTCAGAAGGGTGTCTTAGGGCCATAGCCTCAGGGGTTCCCCAGTCTCTATCAGGTAAGTCTGGTCTTTTTTG